CCCCCCCCCCCCCCCCACTGCGAGCACAGCTAACGTCATCTCCCAGAAATAATTAGTCTAGTGTCCGTGTAAGAAAGCCTTTCTTCGACCGCACACAAGCCACTGAGAATCAGGCGCACGTCCCCTGGAGATGGGCACGTTGGATTCTCTGTTGTAGAGCTTTGGTGTCGCAGAGGGAGAGAGAGGGAGAGTGAGAGCGAGAGAGAGGACGGCATAAATAGAGGTAGAGTAAAGCTCAGTGAATTGATCGATTGGTATTTTTATCGCCCGATCTGTCGGGAAGTCTCTGTAGATACGCGGTAGATGCGTGCAGCCGGGCGATCTGGCACCGCCAAAATTGTCTGGGTGAAGGTAATACCCATGTCTTGCTGTCTAGGTGTTCTGGTGCCTCGTGAACGACCACGCTTTGGCTCACGTCCGTTGCGCGCTTTCACATCAGCCAAACGAACCCGCAGGAATTGACCCTATCAACGTCGACGGGGGAAAGCAACGATTGGACGGTGCGGCGAGACCCTGTTTGATTGGCAGGCACCGCGATAGGTTCTTGTCTGTGTATCTCCCACTACTGTAGATATGCAAGACGCCCATGTCACTGACATCTAGTTTCAGGCGTCCACAACACCTTGGTCAAAGGAACATTATCTCAACAAAATGCGAGAGGGCCAAGGGTGACGTGATTTCCCTCTTGGCGCAAGCGCGACGCACGAGGGATTAGATACAGCCCATTGCTTCGCCGGTCGTTCGCTCGAGCCCATAATGATATGCCGACTTGGGAGATAAGTTCCCCCAGTGCAATGGTATGCTCCCGCTTTTGTGTTCGCCACAAGCGAAGGTTCGGAAGACACACGCCCGGAGAGTCGGCATGTAGACTTCTCCACTGCCCTCGTCATCTGGCCTCTAGTTAAAACCGGGGTGCGAAAAAATGCCAAAGTGGAACACCACCCATCAACCTCCGGTGCCGGTGTTGTGATTCACCCCCCACCCCCACGCCCCCACCCTCTCTCGGCTCGAGCGCGCCTCCCCTTGTCCTCCTTTACACAGCCCTTACCCGTTGTTCTCCTGGCCAAGGCACGGAATACGGGAACCTGCAGACCATGCACCGTGAAATCGAGCATACAGAACCGGGGATCCGATTCTACCGACACCAATATCCCTATACCTGACCCCCCTCCCCCTCGCCCCAACCAAACATCGACCATTTATAAAGATTTGCGTGATGGGGGACCAGAGCAGCGGGAAGTCGAGCGTGCTGGAGGCTCTCGCCGGGGTGCCGTTCCCGCGGGGGTCTGGCCTCGTTACCCGTTGCCCCATCCGCCTCAGCATGAAGCGCTCGGCGACCGGGTCCCGCTGGAGCGCCGTGGCGCACGCCTCCAACGAGCCTTCCAAGTCGCACTCGGCGTCTACTCCTGGTCAGCTCACCAAGGTGTGTAGGGGGTTTCATGTGGTGCCAAGGGAGGGGGGGAGGTGGGAGGGAGTGAAGAGAAAGACGTGTTTGGTTGTGTGCATGCTTTGTTGCTCTTTGCATGCTTGGCTGGTTCCAACAAGCACATGCCTTTCGGCCGCTGCAGCACTGATGTGCTCGTCAGGGGCGGTTTCCGTACAGGTCGAGGTCTCTGGGGGAAGTGGGCGGAGCAGGAGGTGTGCGTTGCTGGATTCGTTTCGTTGCTTGCTCTCACTTGTCTGTGTAGGTGTGCTGTGCAGCCAAGGGGGGGTATCCCGCCGCCTCTTCGTCCTATTAGGCGAGAGTACAGATAATGTGGCCCGTTCGGTACCTATGGCATGTGCGTCAGGCTGGTGCTATTCTTCCGTGATGGTTTCCCCTCGCGACAAGCGTGTTGCTCTCGCGTTACAGCCGTTCTAGCGTTGTTTTTTCTCAGCATACCTACTTGGAACCCAAGCGGCGCTACTGTACCCCGCTACGGGGTCGTGCTTTTCCTTAGTCTCGGGCTCAATCGATTTATGTGATTGCGTACGGTACTGCTATTATCATTTTTGTTACCCTCGACCTTCACCGCCGAACAGTTCTTTTTTTTCCGTGTGCAGCCGTTTGTACACTGTTGTGGGTAGTTATCCGATGTGTTGTTGTTGTTGTGAAGTTCGTATGTAACCCCGAAGGACTGCGAGTATAATTCACTATCCACTCCTCTTTTTGCTGGTGTGCTGCGTTGTTCCAACGCAAAATAGAACATACATGTACCAAATTGCCCGTCGACGGTTTGTGAATCGAAAACACAACAAAAACAGCTGCTGGAGCGGTTGACGGACGGGCTCACGTCGACCTCCAGCAACTTCTCCACCGAGACGATCAACGTACGGCTGTCCTCGCCTGACGTGCCCGACCTCACCGTGGTGGACCTGCCGGGAATCATCCGGACGTCCACGGCGGGCCAAGACCCGGCGGTCATCGCGCAGGTTTGGCATTGTGGCATGTGTGGGTAGTCGCGTGAGCGCGGTGTATCCGCGCGTGGCGGCCACCGAGGTATGCTCGCAAGAGTTACACCTGTGTGAGTTTGTACCTGATTGAGCGTCGGCCGCGCTTAAGCCTATGCCGGCAGACCGAAGCAAGGGCATCATCTGTGTGCGCGCGCGTGTGTGTGTGTGTGTGTGTGTGCTTGACGGCGTGCTTGCGGATGTGTGCGTGTTTGTGTGCGTGCTTGACGGCGTGCTTGCGGTGTGTGCATGTGCGCGCTTTGTTTTTTGTTTTGTTTGGTGGGCGTAATCTGCCGAGCTTGGTGACGGGCCTACGAGCGAATGTCAGGTCTGTTTTGGAGAGAGCAAAAAAATATCGCGCTAGCGTGCGGTCTAGTCCTCGTGGTCGCCCCAACAGGGGGCACGTGGAAGGTCAATGAGTACTTGCATTGTGCTTGTGGACGCGTGTTTGCGCGTAGCATCGCTGCTTGGCGTCGGGACAGTTATTTGCTTGTCCAGGTCAGGGGCGTCCCGCGCTGTTGCATGATCCCACCGCGAAAGTGGCTGCGTCTCTGTGGAGCCTCGCTCGTCTGATCGGGCGAAAAAACATCGGTACTCCACCACGGGCCCATTGGAAGGAAGCACATTTTTGCGCCGTCTGTTGTTATGTGTTCCAAACACGTTACATGTGCCAGGGGCATCGAGCGATAGTTTTATCCAGCGCTCTTCCCGTGGGATTACAACCGTCGTGCTTTGGGCTCGTGAAGTACTCTGTCATCTCCTCTTCCCGCGCCGTTGTGTAGCCCCCGGCCGGCACCCCATTTTCCACGCCAGGCTGCATTCATGCATTACTACTCTTTCTTTTGTGTTTTTGTTGTCTTTTCAATGTTTGAAGGTAAACAATCTGATCGAGTCGTTCCTGGAGCAAGCGCGAACCATCATCCTCTGCGTCATCCCTGCGAACCAGGTCAGTCAAAGAGTTTGTTCAGACGGTCGGGAGGCGCTGTGTTCAGTTTTCTTTAAAGCCAGCCCTGCTAATCCCGGCCGCTCTCCGTTGTGTTTTTGTCCTTGCAGCAAGAAGGTGTTTTGCTGTGCATGTTTTGTGGAGCAAATGTAGGGTTATGTTTGTCCCGCGTGAAGGGAAGGTGTGTATAGTATACCCTTTTCTCCCCCCACGCATTGTGATGTGTAGATCGTGACAGAGACCATCAACGGAGGAACGACCAAATTGGACGACGGCCACCCCCCCCATGTGGACTGACTGCCAGTTTGATCCACCGTCCAATCAGATTATTTCCACCAAGAATGATCCAATTGATGAATGGGCCATCGAATCGACCGACCAACTATCAAGTGATGGACGAATCGAATCGATCTACCAAAAATGATGAAGTGATGAGTCGACCAATCCATCGGTGGTGAAAAATCCAGGACATTGCCACAGTCGACATCTTGGAGAGGGCCCAGAAGGTCGACCCGCGGGGGGAGCGCACGATCGGGGTGCTGACCAAGCCGGACCTGATCGGTCCCGGCAACGAGGACGAGGTCCTGGCGGTGCTGCACAACGTCAGGAAGCCCCTTCAGCTCGGCTACGTCATGGTCAAGAATAGGTGGGGGGGGGGGGCCGCCGATTGATATTGCTG